CAAAAGTGCTGGGAAAGTGAGTCTTATACACTTATTTGCCACACATTGTTACCGGAAATTAATGACGTACATAGATTATTGTAATTGATTATTTACGTATTCTACCGCCGAAAATAGAAATTTGTCTTTCACAATTTTCCGTAATAGTGCGATTGAAAGTTAAGAGTTATCTCCTCTTTTGTGAGTGAAAAGGGGAGAAAATAGTGCTAAACAAAAGTCAATTTCAGATGATAATTATTGAATACATCACAAGAACGTACAAAGCAAACAAATAACATCACTTACAGTTTTACTCCGTGTGACATATAGCATATACATCATTAAAAACAACACTTCGATAGTTAGGTGCGTACTAATATATCAAGCACTTGGCGGCCTATTTTCTTCCTTTTCCATGTGGCCGCCATACTGGTAACACGTGGTTTCATCTTCAGAATAAAAATGCTCATTTTCCTTCGTTAAAATAGTGTTTCGTTGAGGAAATTCAATAAATTGTTGTAACTATTTTACTTCGATAGTTAAAGCAGTTCAAAATGTATCGGGTATTTTGTAAAAGATCAACATCTTTAGTGAAATGGGGGTAGAGAGGGTTGGTCGTGAGGGGGACATGTGGATGGAATGATGCGTAGTATGAGCACAGGATTCTGCAACTTCTTATTATTAGAAAAATCTCGCTCAAATGAATTTGAATTCTGACTATTTAGAAATCGTAATTCGAACGTTTTCTTGGACGTGAAAAATGCCAGACTTATCTTGCAATTTACAAGCATTCCTACCTCGTTAATTTCAATTTCTAAATTAAATGACGTTTTCATTACAGATTAAGCAATCATGCCGCGTGTGCCGCTAGTAGCTAGTAAGACCTACACAACTCCCCGACGTCCCTTCGAGAAGGAACGGTTGGACCAGGAGTTGAAACTTATCGGTGAATATGGTCTGAGAAACAAACGTGAAGTATGGCGTGTGAAGTACACCTTGACCAAAATCAGAAAGGCTGCCCGAGAGCTGCTCACCCTGGATGAGAAGGAACCCAAACGACTTTTTGAAGGTAAACATCTCGCTAGATGAAGACAAGTGATAATGCAAACTCACGAGGTTTTCATGGTTTCCCTTTTCTTGAAAATCTTTTTTTTTTTTTATATATATTTCAGATTTTGAAAACAAAATGTTGCCAGAATAATTTGCTAATGTTACCAGAAAAAAATGCTGTTGGAACAGTTTCATTTTTACAGTAAAAAAAATCAAATAAACGAATAAAAATAAACTCTTATAATACTACTGAATTTTGATCAGATTAATGATTACAATTTACAAGTGAGAAATGGTCTCCCATATAATTCTCGCTTTACAGGAAGGTTGATTTCAGTGAGATAGGACTATAAAGTCAGCATCAGATCTACGGTAGCACATGGAGGCAAGGCAAGCACACCCTGTCTCCTGCATACACACACACGAGCACGCATGCACTGAAACACACACAGGCACGTTCTTGACCTTATCTGTTTATAAGACATTGAGTAAAATTAAACCAAACAAACCAAACCATTCTTCGAATATTATACTTTTCATAGGTAATGCACTGCTGAGAAGACTGGTACGTATCGGTGTGTTGGATGAAACCAAGATGAAGCTTGATTACGTGCTTGGTCTGCGCCAGGAAGATTTCTTGGAGCGTCGTCTTCAGACACAAGTGTTCAAGCTGGGATTGGCCAAGAGCATCCATCATGCCCGCGTGTTGATCAGACAGAGACATATCAGGTAAAATTAAAAATCTGACACAAGATGATTTACCCGACATTCAATTGATTTTTAAAGTCAGTATTTGATACTCGTAACTGCAGGTCTTCTTCTCGAATGGAGTAAACTCACAGTATAGTGTTTAAAGACTCCAGGTAATGCATATAATCAAGTGTTTATTAACTAACTTAGATTGTCATTTAGATTTTTATTATGATAAATATTTCCAGGTGGAAATAATTTTCATCTTTCATTTTACTTTGGATCTTGGTTCCATAGTCAATTGTAGAAATGTAAAAAAAAAAGGAAAATTTTGTAGTTGCTTGCTTATTTTTAGGTGATTACATGATTCTTCTTGAATATTAAATCTGTGCTCTGATAAAACCTTATATATGAATTTGTTTCACCCTTCAGCTGTCGCAAAAGTTGATCAAGGAAGCTACCTTCTTCCACCCCAAAAGGCCACTGTTGCGCACTTTGTGTTGCTTTAAGTCTTTTTGGATCAACTGGCAGTTTGTGGTCCTCTTCGAGTCTTGACTGAAGTTGACCTCGACGACAAAAGGCCACTACGACGATTTTAATTGTCGCATGTCTTTTAGAGAGGTTGAATATTAATTCTGACAGGCCAATGAGGTGGTTAACCTTATGTCTGTTCTGGTTCCTGATTTGACATGTACATGTTAAAGGTAATGGTCCTTATTAAATTGCCATACTTGTAATACCAAAGAAGTAGTTGGTAAGAGGATTCAGTAAAAAGAAAAGAAAATAAGGCAAAAAGATATGTTTGTTTCAGGTATCCCAACCTACCCTTGATTTCACTGCCGTCCCTCGATATTTTATCACCTACTTGTATCTAAGATTAATACATTAGCCGGGCAAAGTTCACAGCCACTTGTCAACATTTACTTTCTTCCTGTTCTGGGAGTCTGACCTTATTCTTGACAAACAAAAATATGTGAAATAAAGATTAATTCACAAAAATAAAAATAAATACATTAAAAATAAAATTATTTGCCTACCTATCTACCCTATTTTTTCCAGGTTTGTTACCTGAAACAAACATTTATTGGCCTAAGCACATAATCGGGCAATGTCAGTAATATTGACAGTACTATGACGCCGATGCTCATTTTTCTCTGGTTGTAGAGTAAGGAAGCAGGTGGTAAACATCCCATCCTACCTAGTCCGTCTGGACTCCCAGAAACACATCGACTTCTCCCTGAGGTCTCCATACGGTGGCGGTCGTCCAGGTAAGTACTTAATTAATCGAGTCTGAACCGTGTTTCAAAATTCTAAAATAGCGGTTTTTCCTATTGCATTTTTCAAACTTCTACCATAGTAATTTAAAATGTTTATATAAAATTAACGAGTCAACATGAAGTCCAGAGATCACAAATATTTGTTGTTTCTCAAAATAAATCCATAAAATCAAAATGCAAGGAATTGTTCATGTTAGCTGTACATTAAAATGTATTGCTCATCGGCTGAAATTTAACTTGGTTTTAACTCTTATTTACAGGCCGTGTAAAGAGGAAGAACGTGAAGAAGGGCAGTGCAGGAGGAGCTGCAGATGAAGACGAGGATTAACTCATAGGCTCTCCCATCCCAATTTCTCTGTACAGTCATTGCTGAATAAATCCATGAGATCCAGTTTGTTGTTAAATTGTTATTTGGACAAATCTTGCATTCAGCTGTAAGCTTTATATCTTGGCGTGATTTCTGTCGGTCTATTTAAACAATCCTATTCTCGGGATGTTTAGGCTAAGAATCACGATACTTTATTTTGCAAGTAGCTAAGCTTGGTGGGTTGGGGGACTTTTTAAACTTTGTATAATTTAATGATAACCTAGACTTGCACTAAACGTCACAGTCTCGCAGGTCAGATATGTCAAAACAATCACTTTATAACAATTTTCCGAGTCCTGATATTGACAAGTGGCCCGCTTTGATAGCTTGCTTTTGTCAAATTTGTACAAGTAAATGAGTTTGACTTTCATTGGTAGATCAAATGTGTCAAAATATTGAAAGATTAATCATTGGCTCCAACTTATCAAGGTTGCAGGGTTATTAGTTGAATTCATGAACTGCTGTTAAATACGATATTTTAACCACAAAAACAAGTTCAGGGGTCCTGTTTTCATGTAGTTGGATTTGATTAAGGGCTGTCGAGATCATACAAATACATGACCTTGATGTGCATTTACGGTTATGGGTCGAAATCTGTCCGGTATTGAAACCTTTTCATATAAAATGAAGCGAAAGCCTGCTGGAATGAAGGAATGTTAATTTTGAGAAATCTGTGACCTGTATTTGCATTCAATTGAAGGCAATGAAGGACAAGTGTTTTGCACCGATATTAACTATCGCGTACAGTACCTGGTAATCCTGATAAATCAGGCAAATGTTGAGAGGGATTTGGTCCAAATATAATGTACCCATCTTCCATTTTGGAAGTCTAATTTTAGGTCACCCAAGCTTTGCTCGATTTCACAAATGGGCATTAAGTTTATATCCTTAAACACTCGCTGTAACCCTAACTGATCCGTGGTTTCCTGAACATATATCTTAATCGCCGTTTCATGAATCGTGTTATGACTAATGCATCTAAACATTAGGTCACTGCAACCCCAACTTAACCTTCATTTACCTCGAATACTCTATGGTTTCCCCCAGCATAAATTGATCGCTGTATCATGAATTGGCATAAAACTTTTTAAGTACACCATGTAATGACTGCAGACTCTCGTTCAAAAATGGGTTAAGCCGCAATTTGACCTTAACGTTGAGTACTTAAATAATGGCTTCCAGAGCATATCTCGACCGCTAGCTGTTTAATGAATTAGCATCAAACTTTGCATATAGTATCTATATGTACATCATGGGAAGATGGTGTGTCGCATCCTGATTTGACCTTTACCTATAGTGCTAAAATAATGTTTTCTGGAGCAGATCTTTGGCACCGTTTTATGAATGGGCTGTAAAGTCATTTTATCTCGACAAAAGTCCCAATAAACCAAAGTTCTACCTTTCAAAGAATTTTGCAACTTGAACGCAGGTTAACTAAGCATCACCATTGCATAATATTTTTGGTATCCAGGACGAAAAGAAATTGTACAAAATCTGCCCATCTGCTACAGTAATGAATATTTTGCTGTGTTAGTAGGAAATCGAGTTCGGCAAGAACCTAGCATGTAAATGAATCAAATACTTAAAATAACAAAATCCATGTCATTTTTACAAATTTTAATTTAAATAATACTCTTAGTAAAACAAACAAAAGCTGTGTTGGCGAGGTAAAATAATTGCTAAAACACAAATTTTAAAACTGTTTTAATAATTTGCTAAACAGATGATGATTATGACATACACGTGAAAAAATACAATGTATAATTATGTAGTTTGTTTTGTTAAAATAAGCATAACTTTTGTGCTTACTCGTCATATAACGATTTTTTAAGATACATAAACACCGGTATCTGTTCCAAGTTCTCGCTTGTTTGGCATAGTATGATAAAATATCGTAAAGACTAGCTGCATCACCCATTCCTGAAATTTGTTGTAAACCTTTGTAACTATTTATATATAAATAAAGAGTACTCTAAAAACTTTTTCAAGGACACATCTTAAAAGCAAATACATTCTGTATTCTAATTAAAAGTTAAAAAAACCTTTTACTCTCGGGGTGGTCAAATTGTAGTAAAAGAGTTTTTACAACTTGAAAGACATTTTACCACAATGTGCACCCTAGTTGCTTGAAAAGCTTTGAGAACTCTTTGCAGAACTAAAACAAATCTCATTTGAAAGTGACCATGGCATCAGACGATAATGGTACTAAAGTACATACCAAATTATCTTGAACGTGCACACTAGTTACTTGAAAAGCCCAAAGAATTCTATCAAAATTAAAACAAATCTTATTTGATGAGAACTAGCCATGACACAAGACCATATTGGTACTCTTCATGTATGTTAATTTTTGGATCTGTTAATATGACATTTCAAATTCTTTGCTTGTTTGAAGTCCCTAAGCTATTATAATCGTTATTTTAGTATCTTTGCATGGTATGGAATACAATATAACATGTTTATAGCTAAATCCAAGGATCCCAAAATCAAATTGACATTTAATTAATACAATATTTGATATTCCTGGGACATTATATCCTATGCTATTTGCCAGTTAACAATAAATTACAAACATAACATTATTGTAAGCAAGGATTCCATAAGGAGTTGGGGTTTTAAATATGTTTTAATCTATTCTTTCTAACTGTTTTGACCTTTTTCTTAACACTGAGTATCAAACCCAACAAATATGGCAATACTGTAAAATCTTCACAAATGCCCAACAATTGCACAATATCATATACTAAAAATGCCCAAGGTGAGAAATATCACAAAACTTTTGAAATCCCATAGCTCTTGGTGTCTAAAAGTCAAATGTCAGCATGGCAACGGTCGTATATCTGGTGTTACAAACCTGAAATAAGACAAAATTAATGTTAATACATCTTTGATAAAATCTATGACTTGAATTCGTCAAAATTGCAGGAGTGGTTAAATGCCTATTAGGGTTGATACAGCAATGACAAAGATTTTTGTTTGTCAACAGAATAATTTCTATCGCAGCCACTATATATAGTCTCGTCGGTCAATACATGTACACCTATAGGTATATTCACCAACCAAGCCTAAGTAGCCTAGTACCTGTGGTTCTTTCAAACATCTGAGAAAAAGGACTCTTTTTCCCATTGGCTAAAGTGTGTCACAGGTTTATACAATTGACGGCACACAAGATTAATAATGTTACATTAATGCTGTCGGTAGTACAATCTAATTAAAATTATATCTTCACATCGCTCCCGTTTACTGATATGTCGCGTTGAAGCAGTAAACGGGAGCGATGTGAAGATATAATTTTAATTAGATTGTCGGTAGTATGTCGAGACTCAATTTTAGGACACATGGAAGTCTGCAAGAGTTATGCCCCTTCCTTTGATTTAAACCAAGTACATTACAGGAACAAGAAAAAAAAAAAACGAGCTGTGGTGTACTGCTTAACTTGTTCTGAAGTCTTTCAATGACAGAAGTGAATCTGTTTTGTGAGGCTTGTACCTTCACGAGGCCCAGTCTCACTTCTGACACCAGGAAATTCAAGCCCTCGCAAACCAGATATTTAATATCACATCTGGAAACAACTGTTCTATTAAGTTAAGAATTTCTTCAAGACTTTGCATAATGAAGAATGTAAATTTGAGAAACCGAAGCTTGAGCTCAAATGATCTTTCACTTCTCAGCCTACAAGTTCATGTATATAAAATAGACATAAATTAAGACTCACTTATGTCGTGCCTCTGAACAAAACAGCCTGTCCTTTGAGTAGTACTGCGAGGGGAGATTCCTGTCTAGAAGGTAGGTGTGCAACGAGATGAAACTGTCGAAGTGCTGGTCTGCGTCACTTCTCTGTATGGCGTCTGTTACCACTGATATGTAAAACATAGTGATGGTCTCGTGGTATCCAAACTTCACCTAAAACATACGTCAATACACAATTGTGGAATTAAATATCATGAAAAAGTTATGTTAAACCTATCAATAGTCTTGTTGTACTACCAAAAATTTACATCAAAGGGATACTTCTGAAAACTCATGAGGCCATTCAATATTATATATTCTTTTAATGGGTTACATGTATATCCAGAAAACAGATGCCTGTCAGTTTAGAGCTTCTGGTGGCTATCGCCAATAAGATAGTTTTCTTTTGCCTGAATATACCTTGGGATTATGCCATCATAATATGACATGTAATTAAGGTCAGCTGATGACAAGTCTATATGAGGGGCGATATTAGTGGAAGATCAAAACTGTATATAGCCTCATTTAAAAAAAACACTTTTATTAGACCTGTTTTTTCTAATTTGTAGATGAAGTGCAGGCCATTGAACTTGAAACTTACTTTATCTTTGTTCTGTTCATTGAAATGCTGGATACCAGCTCTGAAACATAGAATGAACTGGTTAGTTTCTTTATTTCATGGTGAATATATAATGTTTTGACTCTTGTTAAGATTTCTATTATGGTCTAAGGGAAGATAATCCTAATTCCTGATCACTAGCTGACTGTTTGTTATAAAGCATAACTCAAGAAGTCTCATTTTGTTTTCTGATAATAAATTGCTAAAATATCCATGGCCTACATAGGTTAGCCTTCTTACGGCCTACATAGGTGAGCCTTCTTACGGCCTACATCGGTTAGCCTTCTTACGGCCTACATAGGTTAGCCTTCTTACAGCCTACATAGGTTAGCCTTCTTACAGCCTACATAGGTTAGCCTTCTTACAGCCTACATAGGTTAGCCTTCTTACAGCCTACATAGGTTAGCCTTCTTACGGCCTTCATAGGTTAGCCTTCTTACGGCCTTCATAGGTTAGCCTTCTTACAGCCTACATAGGTTAGCCTTCTTACAGCCTACATAGGTTAGCCTTCTTACTTATCCTGATGCTTTAATCTAGAACAGTTACAGCATTCACGCCATTGGTGTTGTAAAATGTTCACTAATTTTAATAATTCAAAGTGAAAAATAAGCAAGAGATGATATATGTTAATGTATCTTGAAATATGCATTGCGTACAGTTGTCTAAACAGAAATGTTTGTACCCTGGTATTGTGAACAAGAGGCCCTCTCAGAGGGTCTGTATTGCTCACCTGGATACCAAAGCAATCATGGCAAAATACTCTCCGAATGAGATCAAGGGAATATGCCAGGCCCCAAGGCCAATCCTTGGAGCTTATCTGTACATGTATTAGATTCTTCATGCCCAGCAATTTTATGTATGGTTATGGGGTGGGGATCTCAACTGTTTCCAAGCTTTGACTCAGAAACTAGGTCCCTAGGGTTGTGGCCAGACCCCAGGATCAATTCTAATATCGTGACTGCATTTGTCTCTTTTTGCCCAGCATTTGTATATATAGTTTTGGGGTGGGGATATCAACCATTTCAAAGTTATGACCCAGGGGTTAAGTCTGCAAGGGTGGGGCAGACCCTGTGGTCAATTGTAATATCATGACTGCATTCGTCTTTTTATGCCCAACAATTGTATATATAGTTTTGGGGTTAGAATCTAAACCATTTCGAAGTTATGACCCATGGGTTAAGTCTCCAAGGGTGGGGCAGTCCCCAAGTCCATCCTGGAAGCATATGTGCAATCATCTCTTTATACTCAGCAATTGTATATCCCGTTATAGGGTGGGGCTCTCAACTGTTTCCAAGCTGTGACTAACAAACTAGGTCCCTAGGGGTTCGGTCAGACCCCAGGGTCTATTCTGATATCATGACTGCATTCGTCTTTTTATGCCCAGCATTTATATATATAGTTTTGGGGTGGGGATCTCAACAGTTTTAAAGTTATGGCCCAGGGACTATGTCTACAAGGGTGGGGCCAGACCCTATAGCCATCCTGGAAGCAAATGTGCATTCTTCTCTTTATACTCAGCAATTGTATACCATAGTTATATGGTGGGGATCTCAACCATTTCCAAGTAATACACTTTTTTTGGCCCCACCCCTTAGCCCGGGGGTTCAGTCCCACCATTTGTATAATTTTGAATCCCTGCTTCCCATGAATGCTTCTGACCAAATATGATTGATATCCATGGCATAGTTCTAAAGTAGAAGTCGTTTATAGCAATATAGCAAAATTGCCCCCTTTTTGGCCTCGACTCAGCCCCCTGGGGGGTCAGCTCCATCATTTGTACAATTTTGAATCCCCACCACCTAGGGATGCTTCCAGTCAAATATGGTTGATCTATATCATTCTCTTAGTTCCAGAGAAGAAGTCGCTTATAGCAATATTGCAAAATTGACCCCCTTTTGCCCCGCCTCTCAGCCCCCTGGGGGGTCAGCTCCATCAATTGTACAATTTTGAATCCCTGACACCTAGGGATGCTTCCAATTAAATATGGTTGACATTGACTTCTTATTTCCAGAGAAGAAGTCGCTTAAAGCAATATAGCCAAATAACTCCTTTTGGCCCGCCCCTCAGCCCCCTGGGGGGTCAGCCCAACCATTTGTACAATTTTGAATCCCCACCACCTAGGGATGCTTCCAGTCAAATATCGTTGATCTATATCATTCTCTTAGTTCCAGAGAAGAAGTCGCTTATAGCAATATTGCAAAATTGCCCCCCTTTTGCCCCGCCTCTCAGCCCCCTGGGGGGTCAGCTCCATCAATTGTACAATTTTGAATCCCTGACACCTAGGGATGCTTCCAGTCAAATATGGTTGATATCCATGGCATAGTTCTACAGAAGAAGTCGTTTGTAGCAATATAGCCAAATTGCCCCCTTTTTGCCCAGCCCTCAGCCCCCTGGGCGGTCAGCCCCATCATTTGTACAATTTTGAATCCGCACCACCTAGGGATGCTTCCAGTCAAATTTAGTTGAATTCCAATCAGTGGTTAAGAAGAAGAAGTCGTTTAAATAAATTGTTGCCGGACGGACGACGGACGGACGGACGGATGGACGACGGACGCCACAGTATGGCATAAGCTCACCTTGGTCCTTAGGACCAGGTGAGCTAATAAATGATTGTTTGAAAATTGAAAACTAATAGCACTCAAACTGCAAACATTTACACTTTCTACAAATGACAGTACTTCTATTACTTTGGGATGATCAAGACAGATCACAGTTTTCTGTTTCTATGAATCTTCTATATGACCTTGAACTTTAAAGTCTTCATATTCAAAGTATTAAACTTCCAAATTACTCATCTATTGGTTTCAGCATGCAATTCATGTCTGTTTAGACATAAATGCATCAAATCCACAGTTTTTCTTTTGGGAAACACCAGAATAGAAAAAAAAATACTACAAGTAATGTACAATATGTAATACACATTAAGTTCCTCATGCAAATTTTTTAAGTCTATTTTTGGGTAAAAAAGGGAAGTATTCCCCTCCGAATATATACCCGGTAGGCAAAATTCCATTATTTGGGAATTTAAAAAAAAGAATGCACATAAACTGCAATTTGGGGTACATTCGCCTCTCCGGTTGAACCTGTAAAGAAAACAACAGGAACAGATCTGAACCGAGGCTAACCTCAGAAAAATTCTACATGTGTAGATTGAGGGGGTCCAGACGTACCTGGTCGAAACTAAAATAATTATAGAACGGTCCAAGTGCGTTCGTTTATTGTGGAATATTTTTGCGTCACACGTACCGTTTCAACCGGGATACGCGAATGTAGCCTAGGTGAATGAATTGATCCAGTAGTTGAACATCAGGTATATTGGTATTAATTTTTCGTATTTTTCACTTCCCCCATTTTAAGCCCTAAAGCTTGCCCTGCACTTACATGATATGAGGTGTGGCTCCATCCTTCCCCAACTCTGTGATGTAGTTCCAAGCCATTCTAAGATGCGCTTCGTGGGTCCAGTCCTCATAAGGTAGAGTGGCATCCTCGAATGCTTTTATAAATATCTCATCGCCGACAGATCTAAATGACCTAAAAAAGCCAAAGTATTTTTAGTAAGATAAACATAAAATTGAAATTTGCATCGATTTACAGACCCCAGCTCTCACTTCAATAGAAATGGAGCCAAACGCAAAGTCAAAACTGTAAGTCTTACCCAAGCATGCGCAGTGAAGCAGACAAATAGATCACAGTGACCTACATTTGACATATTATTGCTGTACAGCTCTGCAAGATGTATCTTCATATGGAAATTAAATGGCTCATACTTTTAGCGTTTTTGAAAAATATTGTGCTGACATAACAAAGGAAAGGGTAAACATTTTCAAGCCCCCCCCCCCCAATCCCAACTATAATTACATCTTTACATCTAAGTCTAGAACTTGTGAAAACACAGGTGATACAGAACAGCCTCATCAACCTTGCTATTTTTTATTGTACGCAAAAGTGCTAAATGTTTAATTTAATGTTTTTCTTAATCTAATTTAAAGATATAATTATTTCAAGTGTATACATGGAGAATTAACATTGAGATGGGTATACCACTATAAGTATAATCTGATCTTTCAATTTGATATCAGGAAACGTGTATTTACTAAACACTGCCTAGAAAATTACTTCTGATCAGAAAGGACAGGCTTATGAATTGTACACAATGATATGTACACGTTTTAGTGTACTAACTATAGGCCCTCTGGGCTTATTACAGGTGAGACATTTTGCTATTTACATCAACCTTTACCTGATGAAGTACAGGAGAGGGTCAGGTGTGCTGTCATTGAGTACACCATTATACACATCTCCGTACCAGACATGATGGTCCCCGACTGTGTGGACAGATTTAGCTGTACACTCCAACACTGCAGAACAACCCGATATCAGAGGTAGGCCGGACTGTAACAAGGGAGCATCACTTAATATCAAATTATCAGAAAATGTCATGACTTTTGCCCCACAAGATTATATTAGCCTTCATTAACCTTGGTCTGAATCAGTCCCCTGCCCAAACCTCCAAGATTAACTCATTCATCCCTAAAATTTCATAATGAACTATTCCAAACATTGAACTGGGAGAGTTCAAATGTGTCTTTAGGGGTAAATGAATTAAGGTCTATTATATACTTGACATCAATGAAACATGTGACCAGCTTTTGTTTTTATGTGTTGCATCTGATGTTTTGCAAAAACATTTATTTGCAAATGAATATATTTTATATACCGGTACTACTGTATACAGAGCCATGATTGTATATATGCACCTGAACATATATCTGCATGATACTTCAATCTGAAACTCACCTCAACACTTAATGGATTAAAAAAAAGTAATCTTAAGGCACTTAAAACCCCAAAGATAGGAACTGTGAGACCGGCTGTTAGAGCAAAATTAACTGTATTTGCCACAGAAACCCATTCTTGGTTATAAATCCATTCACATCAGTTTAATAGCGATAAGAGCAAACACTGTTTTCCTCTAGTTCTACAATTATGCCCATCCCTTCCTTCAAATCTGAGTTAATGTGTTGGGGGCTGGGTTTACTGCAGGATAAATATGGTATTTACATCATTGCTTATCTGGTGTGGTACACTGGTGAACTGGCATGTGTCTTCTTTCACTGGTTCGGCAAAATGTACACCATATTTCACCTAAAAAATAGAAAAGTAATTACAACATGTATACATGTCAGTGAACCAGTGGCCTTTAACTCATTTACCCCTGAAATTTCTTGATGAACTATTCCAGCCTTTGAATTTGAAGGGTTGAAATATGTCTTCAGGGGTGAATGAGTTAATATGATTAGGTATATAATTTTAAAAGTACATGTTTATACATACAAACTTTTCTAAGAAAGTATCTAAAAAAAACAAGCCTATTGACCTTTAATCGTAAATCTAGTACATCGTATTTTAAAAATAATTATTATGTAATTAATGTAATATAACTCTATGTTGAATTTGGATCAACCCCTAAACTGAAAATCCTGGAGAATTTTGAATAGACTTTCGTAAAACAAGAGATCCCAGAGGGATCTTGGCGCCCACCATTGTACCATCTTCATTAGTTCTTTGTCAGTTTTATTTCCCTTCTTTTCTCTTAGCTGTTTGATCAGCTTGTCTGTCCGCCATCTTAATCAGTCTTTTGATCAACCTCAAAAGTTAACATGCTCAACTCAGGACCAAGGGGATTACCTTCATATCGAATTTGAGAAAAATTCCTCCAGAGAAATAGCAATAACAAACTTAAACTGTAACAAGATGGCCGCCTGTTAGTTTTCAGATCAGTCCAAAAAATTGATATCCATAACTATAAGAATTAAGAGGAACACTTATGTGAAATTTCTGAAAGATCCATCCGACACTTTTTGAGTAATAGTGCTAATAACCTTTTACTCCCAAATTCAATACGACCACCTGCCAGCCATCTTGTTTTTCCAATCATCCCCAATTCGAAATGGGGAACTAGGAACCTTGGGGAACCTTCATGCGAAATTTGAGAAAGACTCCTCGTGAACATTCTGAAAAATAACACTAACAAACTTTCATTCTCAAATTCAAGATGGCCGTCTGTTGGTCCTTTTGGTTTACCCTCTGTCCCAAAATTTGATATGTGTAACTAGGGACCATGGGGAACCTTCATGTGGAATTTGAGAAAGACCCTTACAGTACTTTCTGAGAAATAGCGCTAACAAACTTTAACATACAAACTCAAGATGGCTGGCTTTCGGCCATCTTGGTTTTGCGATCAGTCCCAAAAAACGATGTGCATAACTAAGGACCATGGGGAACCTTCATGTGATATTTGAGAAAGATCCATCCATTACTTTCTGAAAAATAGTGCTAAAAGATCTTTTAACTCTCAAATTCAAGATGGCTGCCTGTTGGCCATGTTTTTTTGGTTAGAATCAGTCCCAAAAAATGATTTGCAAAACAAGGGACCATGGGGCACCTTCATGTGAAATTTGAGAAAAATCCCTCCAGTACTTTCTGAGAAGTAGCGCTAACAAACTTAAACTCTCAAATTCAAAACGGCTGCCTGTCTGCCATGGTGGTTTTTTATCAGTCCCATCTGATGATGGTGGGCTTAATTAAAATGCTACAAATAACATGTGATGGAAGAAAAACAATGAAATAGTATAGACTTTTATTAAGAGATACTCCTAAAATGACACATTTGCAGTTTATTTCTTCATAAGAAGTATTATCAAGAAGAGAACTCTGTGTTTGAATCGAGTGCTCAGATTGTTGATTAGTAGATTGTGCACATGTAACTTTCAAGCTGTTTGTAAATAAACATTCAAATTATTTTTTTGCAAAATAACTACCAGCACAGTCACAGGGCATGAAATCTAACTTTGTATGTTACAAAGCAGAGCACGTCTGGGCACTTTAAATAGTATCCACCATTTTGGAAAGTTTAAGCTTGGTCTTGGAAGACTTAGAAGTTCTTTAAAGTCTTCTAAAAGTGTAAGATTTTCAATCGCATGGTTAGAAGAATCCGCTGGAAGCAGAAAACTGCAAGTTATTTTGTTCTCGTGCCCAGTCATAATCACAATGAATACACTGATGAAATACTGTTCCCTATCTTTAAATGCAGCTTTGATCTTAAAACCAAACATTCATCTAATTCTATCAGTATGTTTTTAAACTTTTGTAAACAGTAACAATATTGACATTACCTGGTCATTGGCGAGAACGTGGACGGCGAAATGTTGAGTCCTCAGTAGAAGGTCGTGCATACGACTGAAAGGAAATCCGTTTAATAATTTACAAATTAAATTGAGCATCGTAAATCCGACCACCTCAAATCTAGATCTGGTTGTCAGTAACTTTTGTCCTGGTTACTTGTTTCCACATGAGACCTGACTTTCTGATCATGCATTTATACCATAATCAATCACATTCCTGATTAACATATATATACATGCAGTAAATGAAAGGATAATTTTCAATATGCATCAAAATAACTTAATAATTTGAATAATAATAATTTGAGGTTCTTATATACGGCTTTATCACAGCCTAGTTTGTAGGTCGTCATAAAGCGGTTCACAAATTATTTTTAGTGGTAATAGGGCCTTTGCAAACCATCCAATATCTTTCTCAACTCCCTGGGGAGCATACAACCGGTGCTGCCATTTCGACGCTCACAGCTAGCATTCAACACTTTGAGCACTGCCAAACCACGTATTCATTTACAGCTGAGTAGTCTATAACAAGCGGGTAAAGTATCTTGCTCAAAGATACAGCACAGTGCGTGACGTGACTTGAACCCGCAACCCTTCGGTCACGAGCCCGGCGTTCTACCACTAGACTTATGTGCCTCCTAAAAAACTTGAAAAAACTACAAACGCCAAAGGCATACTGACTATATATATATATTGTATAACAATATAATTCAAGAAATGTTTCTTCAATTTTTGTTGATTAATCCCTTTAATTTACATATCACGGTACACTTTTGCAATTTCAATACTGAAATATAAACAAATACAAGGTCATTCATTTGAACAAACTTAGTAGCCCTTCATCCCAGCATGCTTCTGGCTAAATATCATCAGCCTGGGCCTCTTGGTTATTCAGAAGAAGTTGTTTAAAGTAAAATATTGATGCCGGACACCGGACGACGCACCACTGCATAAGCTCACTTGGCCGTTCGGGCCAGGTGAGCTAATAACTAATGCACTCCCAATCATTGATCACACGTTAAAATTTAATGTGATTCTAATATGTACTCAACAAAAGCTAATTTAGTTACCTTGGATGTTTTAAACAAATGGAGACAACAGGTGGATTAAAGGAAACACTGTTGAAGGATGTACAAGTTATTCCTCTCTTTGACCATCTGTTCTTCAAAATGTCGTACTCGGCCGTCGATACAACCACCACTACATATAACATAAACATTCGACACTCAGTCACAATATTCTTTATACATCTCGTTTGTCCTTGATACTAGTGATGGGCAATCGGTTTAAAATCATAATCGATAATTGGGTTTGTAATCGGAAGTAGTGAAACGATCAATGATCAATTGCATATAATCGGATCATAATTTCATGGGACTGAATACCCAAATAAAAGACAGAGTTTCTAACTATACTCAAGGTTTCGTTCTTTTATAATGAATGGAATTCAAGCAATTTTTAAGCAGTTTTATCAATCATATAATAAAAGTCATAAGAAGATATGAATTTCAATATAGTTTTTACATTGAAAACATAAACACTTAGATTTCAATGAAGAAACGATTATATCGATAATAGAATTTGTAATCGATAATCAGAATCTATTTTCGATTATAATCGATCATCAGCCCATCACTGCTTGATACTGTAAAAAATTTCCAACACACGTACTGTATTTGCCATAATTAATGCCCTCCTCCTTTTTCAGCACTCATTGAATGATGTATTCACCCTTTTTCTGCAAGACATTCATTCTATCACTTTCCTCTAAACAAAATATATTACAGTACTACTACTGTATAGCGCAGAAACACTTAGCCTTGTCAAATATTCCCCAGTGAGGTCCATATGTTTGCCTGGTGTAAATTTCACCCTTCCACATATATATAATTACTATATGGTATGCTGTCATGATAAATTCACCCTTATTGGGATGTGTGCAACAGTTATGCTGCCAATACGGCAACTGCAATAACCTATGTTTCGTTGTTTGTTATATATTAATAGGCCCCCTCCCCACCCCAACCTCTCAATTTTTCCTGGGTGTTAATTACAGTGAATACGTGGTACGGTAAAGCCATACGGCTGGTAAAATCCATGGTGGCAAATTTCCTGGTTATAATCTCAAAATTGTCAAATTAATTACGGGTACTTATATAATAAATTGTTTAGAATTTCCAATATATTTTGCAAATAATGACTACTGGACAAAATTTAAATTGTTTAAACATTTCTCTCTAAGTGGAAAATTGAATTATTCGCATTCATGTATACCTGCCACACACTTAATTTTCAAACAACTTCTCTTGCAATCCTTGTAAATAAACGTAGAAGTAAAACTTAATTTAAAAAAGATGCTTGCTAGAATGCAAGCATCGATCTTCTTTTAATCTGAAAACAGCTTTTGAAGTAATTGTTATTCCCCCACCCCTCTCACAAAAAAACCCGAAGAGGCCCAAGGGCCTTAGCGGTCACCTGAGTTATATTTTAGGTACTATAGCTAGTAGCTCAATTTCATTGTTGAGATGTACAAAATGTGGAAAACAACATGTTAACAAAGTGAAATTATTTTGCTATTGAGAATTATACCCTCTCCCCAAGGGTGAGCAGATGACCTGGGGGATAATGAAATTTACAATTAAGGTAATTAAGGTAACTGAGTCTGATGAAGATTTTTTAACTTTTAACCATAATCCCTATTTGGGCCCCACCCCTTCAGCCCCTGGGGATGGGGCAGGATCTTATTTTCTCATACCATCTAATTGTCATCTGGCATCATAATCATTCCAACCAAGTTTCCTGCTGAAAATTGATATCATCTTCCTCCAAGGATGATTCTCACCAAGAAAGAATAATTTCCTACTGAAAATGAACAAAATATAGTTTTATATACCCAAAAGTGTTATTTCGCTATATAAACTATAATAATTTGTACCCCCTCTCCAAAGTAGAACGGATGGCTCGGGGGTACTGAAATTTACATTTTAAATAAAGCCCATGATGATCTTTCCATCCATGCAGAGATATTGACTGTAGTACCTCTGAGTCTGGAGAAGAGGATTTCTGAAATATTGGTTAATTTTCCCTTTGGGGCCCCGTCCTGACCCCTGGGGTTGGAGCAGGAATCACAATTTCACAATTTGGTACCATCTTTCTCCAAGAATGATTCTCAACAAGTAAGAATAATTTCCTACTGAAAATGAACAAAATATATCCAAAAGTGTTCTTTCCCTATATAAACTATAGTAAACTTTACCCCCTCCCCAAGGGAGAACCAATGGCCCAGGGGTACTGAAATTTACAATTTAAATAAAGCCCCTGATGATATTTCCATCCATGCAGAGAAATTGACTGTAGTACCTCCGAGTCTGGAGAATAAGATTTTTGAAATAGTTTAATTTTCCCTTTGGGGCCCCACCCAGGCCCCTGGGGTTGGGGTAGGTATCCCAATTTTACAATTTTGTAGCCTCATCTACTGGTTCTTGAGAAGAAGTCAAAAATGTAAAAAGTTTTACGCATGACGACGGACGGAAAGCGATCAGAATAAAAAAATACTCACCAGGTTGCGGTACCTTCCTCATGACATTTTTGTAAACATCTCCAATATTATCAGACTCTCCCGATGTGGACATAACCTCATTGACTTCTGAAAGCAGTAAACAGGAAAAGCTCCTGATTTAGAAGTCGATCACCATAGGACTGTAATTTATATCAAACGGTCTCTGCATGTGCAAATATAAATCAATGAAGTGTTGTACATTTTATGTACAAGTAAGAATTTTTTTAAGCAAGATTTTTTTTTAAATAATTTCCATAATTTGTTTTAATATAATCATTTTAAAAAAAACTACAGTGAAACCATGGTGACAATTACATTATATTATGTAGTATATTAAATTGCTATTACATATGAATGTTGTATTTAATGCTGATAATTGTGCAATGTTTATGTTAATATCTTGACATGTTTTTTTTCTCCATCAGATAGGATGATGGCACTTGTAAACCACATCTCACGACACTGCATTAACCCTTTCACCACTGTAGACCATAATGGACTCATCCAGATCAATGAATGGTAGAGTCTACTAAAGTTCGTAGGGGTGAAAGGGTTAAACCTCTAACTATTGTACAAACTGACACTATATCTCCGTCTATCATTAACACCAATGATATACTATGATATTATAGTGTAGTAAGACGGAGAATAGTGATAAAGATAGTGCCGTCACTGGGGCTTGAACCTGCGACCCTTGGCTCTCCAGACCGATGCTCTGACGCTGAGCTCAAGGAAAATTCCCTACAGCTGAAGCGTGTAAGGCAACCTAATCAATGCACATCTTTTACACTATTCCCCCCTTTTTCAAACACCAATCCAGGTTCTTTGACTCCCTGCAAAGGATTCTCCTACCTTGAACAGGGAGGGTCAACGGCACCAATATGTATAGTAAGACGAGGAATAGAGATAAAGATAGTGCCGTCGCTGGGGCTCGAACCCGCAACCCTTGGCTCTCCAGCCCGATGCTCTACCGCTAAGCAAAAGGGAAATTCCCTACAGCTGAGGCTTGTAAGGCAACCTAATCAATACACATCTTTTACACATTGACAGACAAGACAAGTGCCTACATGAGAGCAAGACATGTACACATGATATATCAAAGGATGGACTTCACTTGTATAAGTCACAGACACACAGCTACAACGGAACAACTCCTATATGTACGAATTAAGTCAATATCATGCAGCCTGTTAATGCTTTCAAATCTGTATGAATTAAGTCAGCTCATGGAAAAGGTGACAAAATTCATGAAAATAAGAACACTTATCCACAATTTAATATAAATAACTTTTGAAGTACTTTTCTATAACTTTAATCCCTTACGTGTTGAGAATAACTTGCGAACACATTGTACCGTACGTATACAGTAGAAATGTGGCCATTTGCCTGGAATCCTAAGGATATGTGTGGGATTCATGTCCGAGTTTCCTTATGTTCCTGGTAGGTGTTAACAGCTGATAACGTACTATCTGAAAGGAAAAGACTCATTAAAAATGAATGGCATCAAGAAAATTCAATGTATAATCTCACACAGGTGTGTTGAGCTAGAGTAACTCGACGCTTATAAATAATTCTTCCACCTCATTGAAATATCATATTCCAACTATTAGGGTTTGAGCCACTGTGCTGGGACATGCATGTATGTTAAAGTGGTATGATAATCACAAACCAAGGTGTTGTGCTTTGATCAGATTTGTCCGCTCAAACTGACCATAATCGCAGGTCTATAACAGGTGATCTGACAGATCAGAATTTTTGAGCCTGCGATTATGGTCAGTGCATGATGATCAGATATGATCATTGAGATTATAAGTCAGAAGACTGAAAAGGTCTTAATATGGTTTTTTTTCGATAACAGTATAATATTATAATGTAGAACATAATTGTTGAAATAGGATTTAGAAACAAAGTTTCATAACTTGTATATCCATCTCACAAGGTCCTAAACGATATTGAACTGACTCATTGTAACAGAAGATGCTATTTCCATTTACGTCAAATATCTTAAATTACAATCAATGGACTGGACTTACACTTCCAGACCTTGAAGTTGAACACTTCCAGACAGTGCCTTCCAAATTCAAGTAACACCGTTAGATACTACTAACACATAGTAAACGCTGTCGTATGTATCGCATGCAATTTATGGAGGGATTTCCTCAAAGGTAAATCTACGCATGGTATATAATTTAGAGAAGTAGTTTCGAAACCGACAGTTTCGAATTTTATTATTTTGCCTCTACTGTGACAAAGAACAGGAAGAAATATATATTTATTCAAGCACTAAGAAAGAAAAGATCTCCAATTATGCTATTAATATAGAAAATACCACAGTGGACATGAAAAGCAAATAGATAATGTCAAATAATTTCGATTTCTAAAGTAAGAAAAACGGGGAATCCCCTTTAATGACGTCATGCTGCTTCTCTAGATCTGGGAATACCCCGTGGCAAGATGGCATCCACTCTTGTCTATGGAATACGATGCCATTCATGTAAACAAGTCCAGTATGTGTGCAGATTCATAACAACGTCACAGAAAAAACACAAAGGTACAGTTAAAAATCTGAAGGGCAAGAGCCCTGGAGCAAAAAAATGGCTGACAAATCAACTTAAAGATCCGTATGTAAAACGTGCGAAGTTGGAAAATTGGAGATGTCGGAGCGCCTTCAAATTATTGGAAATCGATGAGAAACACAAAATATTGAAACCTGGAAATGTAGTGATCGACTGTGGAGCTGCGCCTGGATCGTGGTGTCAAGTCGCGGCCATAAAAGTGAATGCAACTGAAAAAGGTATGTAGCACGTCTGTTAATGCGAGTTACCTCCCTTAGGACAGCGTCCAGTTTTTGCGGCTTTGTGGCATATTTTTGCAATTTAACATTCAATAGTGTCTGGAAAATGAAAAATAACAGGCTAAATGTTGGAGAAAAAGCAGTTTATTTTGCCTGCTACTGTTTTTTTATCATGAAAATTAAGCGCAGTCAACTGAGACTATGAATAAAAGTATTCTTTACATGACAACACATTTCGAATATCAATTTCGAAAACACCTTACGGCTTTTTTAACGACACGATGCATAGTTCACAATTAACAATTACTGACATGGTTGTGAAAGCACTAAGTACTCATGAAGCTACTTTTGAATAATTTCAAGTAAACTATGATTTTTTGCCATCTTTTTCAACCGAATACAGATTGCATCCTTTAGCAAATTATTTTCTCATAATGAAGAAAAATCAGGAATATCCGCCAAAATGGTGTTTTTTCCCCCAAATCATGAAGGCTCAGACTGTTGTAAGATTTAGGTAGAAATAACCCGGTAAACGATACTTGCTAAAACATACAATTATCTAGCAAAATCATTAACAGCTGTCTAGATAGATATCATTTCATTTTCCCTCACAGATCCCAGCCAACCTACCGGAATTGTAATAGGAGTGGACCTTCTTCACATTGAACCATTAGATAATGTCTCCTTCTTTCCAAACTCTGACTTTACAAATAAAGACGTGCAGCAATCCATACTGGGAAGTCTTGGCGGGAAAAAAGTGCACGTGGTTTTAAGCGACATGGCGCCAAGAGCTTCGGATGCTAGGCAATTGGACCACGAACTGAGTGTAGAGCTCTGCGCCTCGGTTCTGAGATTTTCAGTCGGTGTTCTTAAACATGGTGGTCATTTGCTTTGCAAATTGTGGATGGGACCGGAGCAGAACAAGCTACACGCGGCGCTTGATAAGATGTTCACCAATGTGAAAGTTGTAAAACCGCCAGCTAGTCGGACAAGCTCCTCTGAAATCTACTTCCTAGCCAAGAATTTCAAAGGTGTCCCCTCGGACAAGATAAAATCCGTCGAAAATGCAAGACCGGAAAATTCCAACAAAAATGATATAGGATAGATAAGTTTTTAATGTGTTAAGCAGTAATAAATTATTCAAAGCCAAATTTATTGTTTATATCTTTGTAGTACATATTGTTTTGTCTTTGGATCAGATTTCTTTTGAAAAAAAGGAAACACACCACAATTTGGCTATATATATATCTTATTATTGCAGCGCGAATATAGTGATTTTTAACATGAACATGTATTAACGCAGAATGAATGAATCACCGGTAAATCTACAAAAAAATGAGATTAAAGTTGGTTGCGTAATAAAAAACACTTATTGGGGTAATTATGGTAATTAACGAGTCCCGGGATATTGTGACGTCACAGGGGACCCTGTCGAAGAAAAGTAACATGGTTGACAGGATTCTCCGATAGCGAACACGAAAAACATTGCACATTTAACACTTTCACCCCTATGTAACTTTAGCAGACTCTACCATACATTGATCTGGATGAGTCCATTATGGTCTACAGCGGTGAAAGGGTTAAAGACAAAATCTAAAACTAAATTATCCATATGCTTATTCATTTTGACAACAGCGGTGAAAGGGTTAATGTTCAGAAGACGATGACAGCAAAAACATTTTGCAACTGGATGTTCTTGACATATCTGAGCCCAGTTTGTATTTGCTTGTAAAGGGACTATTTCCAGCTATGTTAAAATAACATAAGAGCGCCAGCCCCCTCATAACTTTCGTTTCAGAAGTTCTACGAGATTTATGCTGCTGTATTAACTTTTTTCAATCCCTTATACATCTGAAGTTATTACTTTTAGTCCCTCCTCTAATTATTTAGATGATTAATTAACCTAATTACAGCATGGGGTCGAAAAATGGAGTATCAGCCTATAAGTATTTTTCTAATGTAAACTACAGGATTCTTCATCCTTATTATTCATGAATACGAAAAATTTCATATTATAAAGAGGTGGTGTTATTTCAAATATGCATGCAAACATTCAGTCATAAAAATGTGGTTGAAATTATTCATTTCGCACAACGAAGTACATGTACCCTGAGTACCCAAAAAGGTGAGGGTCTATGTCTGAGTTTTGTTTTAACATTGGTTTTAAGGGATATTTCATACTCATTTGTTAATATTCATCTCATAAGAGTAAATTATCGGAGAAGAAAAAAATCCACAATATAAATGGCTTTTGGATATTATATACTGACTAAAAGTGGCAAAGATTGCTCAGATGCAGATGCTAGTACTGTATTTGTCCGAAGTGCTACATAAGGTATCTCCAAAAAAGAAAATCTGAAACAAAACGTTTGAAAGATTAAACTACTAGTAGTTTTCCCGCCTTAACAAATATGGACCTGTTTTACGGGTCCTGTTCGCATAAAATGTCTTTGTTTTAACAATTTTAATTCGAAGGGAAACAAATTCACACCTCTGCCAAAACATGCCAAGCACCAGTTAATTTTCAAACACATATTTTGGTGTTATACGTCATCACGTGTATGCTCATTTCATCTTATTTGCAATGACCTGAACCCATGTTCACAGGTTATCCTACGAGGAAGAGAGCCTTTGAATTCTCAATTATTAAGTAGGTCGTCTGAAATAATTGATGCTCTTTTAGAATTGTCGTACATCTTATCAAGGAATCAATCAGACTTCACATTCTCAATGGTTCTTTCTTGGATGACCCTGGTTGCACACCTTGGACATGTTGGTCCAAACAGGGATGTGTAGTGGAGGGATACGCAACTTCCTCTTTGCCTTAGTAAATATGTTCCGAGTGAGGTTGGCTTATCTCCCTTGATCGGTGTTCTATGATACGAGCGCCCCTTAGCGGACAAGTTATGGCTTCATCAGAGCGTGGTTGAAGCGTGAAATTGGTGTGTAAACAAACCAATACTAATGAGTATTACTACATTTTTTGTTTAGCTTGTTGTAGGTTGTTTATGTTACATCTGGTGGAAGTAATAGATGGTGTCACAGGACCCGATGTATTGATTTATTGCCATATATTTTCATTTTCTGTGACAGTGTTCAACGTCAACCGGATGTTATTTTTTGAGATTCGAGATTTTGTTTTGCTTACCCAACAAAGTTGTGTTTCTAATTCCTCCTCAACGGAATGGTTTACATTAGAATGAAGTATATCTATGGAAAGTTTAATTAATTCAATTTTGTATGGGGTAATCTTATGGCGATGAGTTATTATTAAATTGTGTTATTTTTGTTTCAAAAAGAGCTCATGTTTGTATCACTTTGCATCGGAAATGGCGTCATTTTCAGTGAAACCATGTTGTCATCTCGCTGTTTAGATCAAATTTTCTTCTTCTTCTTCTTTATACGAGGGCTCCATCAGTTTGATGATTATGCCATCGGGGGTCCTATTGTAGAGGCGTGAAGGGGTTATTTTTAGTGATTAGGGGTGTTTTTTGTTTTTTTTTGTGATTTTTTTTTGTGCAAGGTCTAGATAAAAAGTTAAAATCTGGTGTATGTACTAGTGTGTGATGAGGGCTTCAAGGGCTGTGTAGGGTAAGTGTGCCTTGAAGTCCTCTAGTGTTGTGCATTGGACTGCTGCTAAGGGGAGGAGATTCCATTGTGTTACTGTGTGTGGGAAGAATGAGTATTTGTAGGTGTCCTTTGTAGCAGATATGTGTTTGTATGCGTACGGGTGTACCTGTCTGGTGCGGGGGTCTACAGGTGTGAGTATATGTGTTGGGTTTAAAGCTACGATTCTGTGTATAATTTTGTAAAAAAGGATAATTCTAGTGTATAAGCGTCGTGTTTGTAGTGTTGGCAATTGAAGTGTGTGGGTCATGTCTGTTACGGAACTAGTGTTGTGGTATCTGTTTTGTACGTAGCGTGCTGCTCTTCGTTGTGTTTTTTCTATTTGTTTAATTTGGTTTGTGTTGTGTGGATCCCAAATGGAAGAGCAGTATTCAAGTTTAGGCCTAACTAGTGCTTTGTATGCATGTTCTTTTATATGTGGTGAGTTTATTTTCAGGTTGCGTTTGAGAAAACCTAGGGACCTATTGGCATTGGCTGTGATATTGTTTATGTGTTTGTCCCATCGTAGGTTGTTTTGTAGTGTTAGTCCTAAGTATTTGCTTGTTTCTACTTTGTGTAATGTGTGGTTGTGGAGTTTGTAATCATGGTGTATTTTGTTGCGTTTCGGTGTAATGTTAAGTATGTTACATTTGTCGGGGTGAAATTGCATTAACCAGTCTGTCTCCCATTGTCCTGCTGCATCGAGGTCGTGTTGTAGTTTTAATGTGTCTTCTTTGTTGTTTATTGTCTTGTATATTATGCTGTCATCTGCAAATAATCTAAGTGTGCTGTATTTCATATATTCGTGGAAGTCATTTATGTAGATGAGGAAGAGGATGGGGCCCAAACAGGTTCCTTGAGGGACCCCAGAGGTTACTTGTATTTTGTCTGATTGTTTGCCCTCAAGTACTACTGTTTGGGTGCGAAATGAAAGAAAGTCTGTAATCCATGCGTGTGTGTTCCAATAAATTCCACAATTTTTCAAACAACGGATATCAATAAAAAGATGAGTAATTTTTGTATTGTGTAGACCCGAGTTTATTTGTCCTCCGTCAGTATTTTTGTTTTTATTGGTCAGGAACTGCCCGCTATGTTACGAACTTTTTTGTAAACATTTGAAAATTATGGGCGAAAAAAATCTCATTACCACCCATTTTGTGTTTCAAATTTCTTCCAAAGTATTTAATCAAGCTTTTCAAAATTAACGGCAATGTAAAGCTTAATTCATATTATTTTGTAAGGGAGTAGTCTTATGGCGGCGAGTTATTATTAATTTGTGTTATTTTTATTTCGAAAAGAGCTACTGTAATATGTTTGTATCACTTTGCATTTGTCATTTTCAGTAAAACCATGTTGGCATCTCTAGATCAATTTTTCTTACAATAGGCCTATATTCCACCATTTTTCAAACGTAGGATATCAATAAATTAAAAAGATGAGTAATTTTTGCAGGTGTTATTTGTGGTATGTCAGTTTTTTTGTTTTTATTGGTCTGGAAACTGACCACTACAGTACTGTGGCGGTACCCAATCCGGGACGGTACCCAATCCGGGACACTTGTGGGAAAGGGTCTAATGAAAATGGCACGTAATACAAACAAGCAAATTTATTTTTGTATGTTTTATTTAATGATACTCTGAACTGTATGCCGACTTATTTGACTGCCGAAACTGCGCGATTACATGGGTGTACAATTTAATATATTGAGTACTAGTCCACTACACATCCCTGTCAAAATCGTCGTCTGAAATGTCCGACTCATTATATTCTGTAAACTCTCCAAGCAAGTGTTCTAAATCTATGTCATCATCCCAAGACAGAAAATCAGACGTTGACATGCTGTGTGATTCATGATGAGACAATTTTAAAAGCGCTGAAGTATCCGATCGTGAAATGCTATGAACCGACTCCCTCAGGGTCCAAACCAAAATATAGCCCAAACTCAAGATACACACGATAATATTTCCCGATACAACTACTGTACAGCTAGATATGGTGGCAAAGATAACATTTCTCCTGTAATAAAATGAAGACTTACTAATACACAGCCCAGTAAACTTGGATAACCGCAATGAAAACACTTCGATCAGCGATGTGTTGACATGACACCGGAAGCAAATGCGAGTATAACCTGACACAAGTGCGCAAGCGCAGACCGGCCAGAGTAGACCCTCGATGACTTCACGGTCCAGTGAACAAACACAAAAGCGACGATAAGTGTTCGCCACTAGACTCTGAGTTGCAAATCCCTCCACTACACATCCTTGGTCCAAAGCACAGTTTTTAAAAATCCATTCGTACTTGGTCCAATTTATTTCTTCTTCGGTATATACCAAAACTACACAAAATGCTCTTTTACTACATTTGGTGAAGATGAAACCTGATATCTCTTGGAATCAGTGATCCGCTTTTTTGGCATTGTCCTTGTCCTTGTCTAGTACATGTATTTTAAAAACCTTTCATTCTATAGTACAAACATTGAATAAATCTATAGTTCCAGTGTTCCTTGGTTCTGACCATTTGAGTAGGGACCAGATACTTGCACACACTACTGTATTCTCAG